TTTGAGTAAACTTTTGAAATTAGCTTCCTCGCCTCAACGCCTGACTGCTTTGATGTTGCTATTTCAAGCCCCTTTCGAAATATCTAAGGATACAGTTTTTTCACCGAGTTTTCTTGCCTAAAGATTGACTATTTTAATAAGAACCACTATCACATCTGCAGTTGACTTAGAGAAGTGAAAGCCACTGCGTGAGATGCTTAACTAATTCGGTGTTGATTAGAGATTCTATTACGTTGCCAAAAAAGAATTAAAAGACTAATAAGCCGATAGTTAGAAGTATCGGTAAGCCCGTGTTCTTAAAAAAAAATGGTAGTACAAAAGAGGGTTTCTAACAAACAGGAAAGCAAGAAGCAGCAAGGTATTTATTGTAGAAATTAAAAAGAACAGGAGTCAGTTCAGGAGAAAATGTATTTAAAAACATTGCTGGGGTAGAATCAATTCCACATGCTTTGTGGCGATCAAGTTTACATATATATTTCATAAAGTAGAGACTCAGTTCTAACTGGAAAATCAAGCAAAAATACATTAAATATTAAATGCCAAAACGAAAAAGAAAATCCATTTTATCCTACTAAATTCTTTAGACTAAATAAATTCATAGTTCCTATGCCGAAAATTTACAATTAAAACTCACGATTGCAATATACACAGTAAAGTATTAAATACTAGATCACTTAACAAAATTCATTTTATATTGTATTAAGTATTATAAAACAGAAATACCGGACCTTGTTGCTTATAATGTCCTATTGGCTAGCATATATAAATAGTCGTACAACCACACAACACACTAGTGTTTTCTAGTTCACATGCGGTCAAGCAAGGAACAGGCTGTTGCTACCCGGTGTTGATCTTGGTGTCCACTTTTATATTTACATATGCTGTATCCCTGTTATTTAAAACTTTTACCGATACAATAATTTAATACTGTATTTTATCATATTTAGCTCCTGATGAACAGGAGAGCAGGTTTGCTACATTTATAACTTATCATGGATATTGAAAGATTTAATTTCGACCACTTCTTAAAGAACATACCTGTTCCATCAGCATCTATCTAAAATTGAAATGAATAGTGTTATGGGACCTTACCCATAATGACATAATGGACTATTCCATACGTAATAAATACTGCGCCTCAAGAGGAAGCAGAGAGTGCAGTCTGAAGTCTGGAGTGACGTCCGTTAGGAGTCTGTCAGTCAGAGCGAGCGGGTCAGTCAAGTCAGAGGCAGTCCGAAACAGAGTCATGTTCAGACAATTACTACTAAACCTGATTGTTCGTACTAACACTTTCTACTTCTCTGTATATATTCCTGTTTGTAATATAACTGTGTTATTCCATATACGTGTTCGAGTTCTTCTTTATTGGTTCTACTTTGGACTATCACCGTGGTACAAGGAACCGGATCATAACAAATAGAAAAAAAAAAAGGAAATCTCATGAATAGAAAGAGATGGAAAGCGCGTTTCTTCGTAAATCACGAATTTAACACAAATGCCACACCCAAAGAAAAATATGGTTTTAAGACAAAACAAAATTGTCCCCGGGTAACACAATCAGCTAGAAAACTTCGAATGAGACTTATTGAACTTAAGAAACATGAAATTTCATAAATCATTAGACACTTTCCAGAAAAATAGTGACATAATCAAAATAAACAATTCACCTAAAGTATTACCGCAGACAAAACTGGAAAAAGAATGTAAGAAATTAATCAAGTACAACACAACTAAAACAAAGAGAAAAGCATCCAAAAATACAAAATAAGATATTAACACAGAAAGTAAGAAAAAATCGCACAAGACCTAGACGACAGAATAAATTGTATTTCTAAATCGTAAGCATTCATTATGCTAAAAGACCACAGAGAAATCTTCTAAACCTAAGCCAATATGCAGATTCCTAGCCCAACCTAAAGGGAACTAGGTAAAAAAAAATGGTAAAATAAACTCAGAAATAAGAACAAAGTTCGAAGAAAACCAGTGGAAAAAAAAAAAAAATGAAAAACAATCATAGACTGATTCCGTAAGCTAATAAACATTTCTCCAACCTAAGCTATAAAAGATTTCTTACCCTTAAAACATTCAAGATAAGGCCATCTCTTTAGGAAAAATAAAAATGAGCACAAATTCAAAATAATCAAGCACTGTCGAAAATCACTATTATTCGGCAACAAAGGCGCATGGCTAGAGAAAGAAGGAACGATCAACGTTACAATGGGAAGTTGCGATGTCTCAAAACCCGCGTGCTTAGAAATATGCATTTACTACATGCAACAAGAACATTAAACACCAAAAAAATAATATAGGCTTCTACAGAGAGAACTGATAAAAACAGTAAGAAACTGTAACAGAGAAAAAAGACAAAATTAGAAAAATGATCAAAGGAATTTTTAAAAAGTATAGGATTTTTACATATCTATAAAAAAGAAACTTAAAACAAATTTCTTAGACGTCTTACTCAGCCTAAGAAAAGGTATATATCAGCCATATAGCAAGCTAGAAGAATTATGAATGAGTAGTGAGTTCGATCCTCACTGGGTGCCCCTTACTTTCGGCCTTGTGCCACATCCAAGATACGCTTGGAAAATCACTATATCAGCCATATAGAAAAACTCAACGACGAATTACTTTACATAGACACAGCTTCCAACCACTCACCAACAATAATCAAGTAGAAGCCACAATCAATCCAAAAGCTACTAAGTAGAAATAATTATGAATTCAAATGAGGTTTCGATGCAGCTATTGCATATTCGCCTATAGGTGCAAATTAAATCATCAATATGTTCAATTTTAGGAAGAGACAATGTTAAATTCCCGTCAGACTGTGCTGCATCTTGGATTCAAAAAAATCTTCACACTGAAAGTTTTCACATTTTTGGCACTTATATTATAGCGGCAATTGGCGTCCAATGTACGCATCAGAGACACATAGATTTCGGTTAGAGTTTTTTTCTGCGCGAACAGGCATTACATGATAGCCAGGAGGTAAGTGAAATTCCCACAGTCATTTCCTTGTCATTCTTCAGTCTGATTCTTTTTATATGCTGTGTTTCTTCAGGACGTAGTCGATCGTCGCTTGCTACATCCTCCTATTCCTTGTAGCTCACAATAAGTTTCGTTTCTCTGCCACCTCCCACAGTCCACGTTCTGTCATCCATTTGCTTAAGCCCGCCAGGTATGTCATTCGTTTCTTTCTCTTGTCTCTTTTTTCTTCTATTAGGTTGGTCCAAAAATATTGTCGTTTTTTGACGTTCAACTTAACGTCAAAAAACGACAATACTTTTGCACCAACCTAATATTTGACCTGTGAATATCAGATTCACCAGACCCTCCTTTCTCATTATGCGTCTAAGAAATTTCAGTTGCCTCTTCTCAGTATAAGCCTCCTCCTTGTTTTCACCCTCTCTAAAACATCATCGTTGCCAACACACTCGGTCCATGGTATACTTAGCATCCTTCTGTAGAACCATACCTCCGTTGCCTCGAGTGTCTTTTTCATCTGTGAGGATCCCGTTCAACTTTCGCTGCTGTAAATGAGGACAGATGTCACGTAGCAGCTCAGTAATCCTTTCTTTGGTAACAAAGAAATCCTCCTGTCTCGCAATGGAGCAAATTTAAAACCAAGCAATCTTTCGTAAAATAAATATTTATTAACTTTATGTTGTGATGGGTAATCCTCTGACTGAAAAAATGATGACCGTATTGTACTCAATTTGCCTCAGATGTATCCAGTATTTGTAGACGGGTAAATAAACCAGTATGTAAGTAAACTGAATGTAATGCCACATATTTAATTAAGTTGCTCATGACGAAGAGACGGTAGAGGTTGAACATCCCCTTCAATAATCCTTATATTTTTTTCGTCTTACAGACAACACTGCGGCGCAGTCTGCTAAAATGACATTTGGCATGAAACTCCCTACAAAGTAGGAGTGTTTCAATGAATGGCCTTGTGTGGGTGGAGGGATGAACTTATTAATAATCATTGACAGTTACTGAAAACTTACTGAGAGCAAACAGTTGATGTAAACGCAGCCAGGCGTTGAGTAAAGCGTTTCAGAGAAAGATTTGGTCACATATGCTTGTGATTTTTTTTACGAGCGGAGCATACTGGGTCTTGTCTATCGCTGGTCGAAAATACATAGTCAGTTGTAGATGGAACGATAGAAAAATATTATCATCAAGAATTTTACTACCAAACGCCGTGACGAGTTGTCACAATCTTCGTGAACCTCAAAGTAAGTATAAATATAAATTAGTGAATATTTAATTTTTTGGTTACTATGAGACATATATTTATTGATACTGGTTACGTCAATTTTTAAAAACTGCTCACCGTAAAAATGTTATCTTTTAAAAATGTTCTGGTACCGTTATTTTTTTTTTTCGTTTTTGGCAAAAAAAAAACCTCTTTTTTATTAAACTGACTAAAATTGATAAATGCTGACAGAATATATTTTGAGCATACAGGTAGATCGATAGCCAACAACTGTAATTACGTAACAAGCATAATTGGAAAAAGAGAAGAAATTCCTTGGTCTTTCTCACACTCTAAAGTCCACTATAAGCATTAGCATATTCGTGATATGCTAAAACTTTAACATAGTCCAAGAAAGTATTAGTATAACTCTGAGAAATCAATTCTAAAAATTAGTAATACATAAAAAAGATGCACTACACTAAAATGTAGAAATATATCATGTGAAAATGGCAGATATATATTTAGATATATTTATGACAATCCTAGACAAGGAAATTGGAAACAAATAAAAATAAGGTCTTACTTGTAAATCTAACAGTGACACAGTAAAAGTCCTTTTTAAGTCTTTTATATTTTTATTTAGAACACGATATATCCTCGTTGGCCGAATCATCACTGTCTACCAATACTACTCCGCCGAAAGTTCAGGCAAAATTGATCTATCCTCATTAATGATCTATCTATCGATGATCTCAAGGTCCGCTTAAGACCTTTCTGTAAATTGGAAAAAGAATTAATCACCTTCTACATGCCTATAATAGATCAACAGGGATATATGTTTGGGATAGATAGATAGATAGATAGATAGATAGATAGATAGATAGATAGGAACAGACAGAAAGTGATAAGAATTTTGGATTAATAGACAGACGTTCGTATTGGACAGACAGATAGATAGATAGATAGATAGATAGATAGATAGATAGATAGATAGATATAAACAGACTGAGATAGATAGATAGATAGATAGATAGATAGATAGATAGATAGATAGATAGATATGTACAGACTGAGATAGATAGATATGAACAGACTGAGAAAGATAGATAGATAGATATGTACAGACTGAGATAGATAGATATGAACAGACTGAGAAAGATAGATAGATAGATAGATATGTACAGACTGAGATAGATAGATATGAACAGACTGAGAAAGATATATAGATAGATATGTACAGACTGAGATAGATAGATATGAACAGACTGAGAAAGATAGATAGATAGATAGATGCGAACAGACTGAGATAGATTGATAGATAGATAGATAGATAGATATGTACAAACTGAGATAGATAGATATGAACAGACTGAGATAGATAGGTAGATAGATAAATGCGAACAGACTGAGATAGGTAGATATGAACAGACTGGGATAGATAGATAGATAGATAGATAGATAGATAGATAGATAGATATGGACAGGCTGAGACAGATAGATAGATAGATATGGACAGGCTGAGACAGATAGATAGATAGATATGGACAGGCTGAGACAGATAGATAGATATATAGATATGAACAGACATAGAGATAGATAGATAGGTAGATTCATTTTCTAGTCTTTATCAACAGTTTGCGGCCTTGTCTATATTTCTGAGATGAGGTATTATGTACACTATTTACATTATTCAGACTATTGTCCTCATCTTTGTCGCCATATTTATTACAACGTTTCGGCCGTTGTACCCTCCGTCCTTCTTCAGGTGGTTGGAATGTCGAACTGCACCGTTTATTTCGCTCAATCTTCTAGTTCCACGTGCCATATTTTAAAGGATGTCAGTTGTCAGTTATCTCCTATTAATTCTCCTCTGCCTTAACCGGGTATTGAACTCACACTTTTTGGGTCCAGTCACTGGATCTAACTAAGGCCTTTATCCACTATGCCATGTGTCCTCGAAGACACATGGCACAGTGGATAAAAGCCTTAGTTATATTAATGATAACGAATGGAGGAAAAACAAAACAAAAAAAAATGAATTTCAAGAAAGCTAGAGTCCAATAACATTCAGACCCAGTAAGCATTTCCTTATATTAAGGACTTTATATTATTTTTATATATTTTTATTTTTTATTTTATTCAATTTATTTTATTCAATTTTTATTTTAGGATTTTAAGTTTTGCTTGTTATTATTTTGGTGCAATAAAAATGTATTTTGGACGAATATCTGTGTAAACTGTAAATGTAGGTATGAGTGTCCCTTTAGATGCTGTAAGAAAAAAGAAAAAACTCGTGAATTAGAAAGTGATATATATATATATATATATATATATATATATATGTATGTAAAAAGATTTGAACCCACAGAAATAGACTTGAACAAAATAGACGTCATTATTGTACCGATTCCCCGAGGCTGTGTATATCAACTTCCACCAGCCTAGCCTATGCAAACAAAAGAAGCATTTCATGCATTCCTTACGTTTGATCGAAGGATTGTGAGTATCTTTTTTCTACTTTATGCTCTTTTGGAACTTCCCAATTATTTTTTATTCGTGAATTTATTTATAATTAAAATTTATTTTAATCGTGTTCCAACTTTCCAACCCTGTTCATTATTATTATTAATGTGTCTCGGTATATCACCAACGATTGCCTTTTGAAAAAGCGTTGTCCGAAAAGGCCCTAAAGGTAAAATAATGACGTCTATTTTCTTGAAGTAATATATATATATATATATATATATATATATATATATATATATATATATATATATATATATTACGATAAACGTGCAATCAATTTACAATAAGAACTAATACGGCAGAAATTTATATAAACAACGGTCATTTCATTCATAACGGATTCGGAGGTTTTGTATACTATTTGAATTGTTTGCGATGATGGATGTCTCGCCATTTAAATCATTAACCTTTGCATTAGTTTTTGTGTGAATAATTCATGTATATATATATATATATATATATATATATATATATATATATATATATATATATATATATATATACACACACACATATATATATGTGTGTGTGTGTGTGTGATGTGTGTATGTATATTATTCTATTTTGTGACATATGTTTGGTGTTAACTGAGTTCCTTATCTCGGTGTGTGGTCCTGCGGTTAAATCTTTTTGGTGTCTACTTTGCAGGATCTGACGATGTTTTTTTAAATAAGAAAAAAATAGAGCACTGTTTATAACTTGCCTGTGGTCTGTGAGATGTGGTGAACCTTTAAAACAAGATATCATCAGTTAACCTTAAATAACGTAGACTAAACGATTTCATGAATTGTTTGATGCTGAAACAGAGGTATCCTCATCATTATTTCCAAAGATAAATTATGTCTATTTCCAAGTCTGGATGACCCTATGAGGATCGAACTGATGACACGCTGAAATAGCGCATTGTTATTTCATGGCGATAAACTCAAGAAATTCTTTATCTATTCTCCAATGTTTTATATGGTCAGAGATTGACCACAACCTGAAGACGCATGAAAGAAGATGGAAGTTCAAAACGAAACTTTCAATTCAAATTTGCAAAGTAGTCTTTAGGTTTCCTAGTATTAAAACTAGATTAACTGTTTATTCATACTCTGATCTCACGGGTAGGTTTATCGAACAAATAATTAACACATTCGCTGTAAAATGTATAGGTGTAGAGTTGTTGCAGTTGTGACTGTTAGGGCATCGGGGGGAACATATTTTAACGCGGAGAGTATTTGAAACTCGCAAAGATTTGATTTTTTTTCCCATTGAGTTTACCTCTACCAAGCTTCTCATTTTGTTTGCACAAATAAATAAAGATTTTGCTTTGTAGTGGAATATAATACTTATGTTGAGTCACCTGTTTTGCTGTAACAAACTTTAGTAATCAATCTGTCCATATCTAAGGAGTATTATAAAATTTGTCAAAGAATGGAATTTACAGCAATCATTTTAAAGCATGCCTTATCTAGCCTTCGCTTGTGGGGTGGGAGGTTGATGAGTTGGGTTGGGGAAAATTCGATAACGCCTATTTTTAGCGAGAGCATATTGGAATATAGAAAGTTCCACAGTTTCGGTTGTCTTATTTCCTCTTAAATAATTGTCCAGGCTAGATATTGTTTTGGTGGAAGAAAAACAGATAAATTTTCCATTACGCCAATCGTGAACTCAAAAAGGACAACTCTTAGAAAAAAGTTATACGTTTAGGAAATACGAAAAATCAAAACTGATGTCTAATGATTTCTCATTAAAATTCTTTGTAGTGGCTCCCTCGTTTGACGAGAGGAATGGGGACAAATATTGTGTGGGTGGGAAATGATTCTCTGGTGAAGATTTCCACGTTTTTTTTTTTTTTTTGTTAAATTCTTTAGCTAATTCTCTTCAGTAAAAAGCAGATGTTATTGTCGTTTTTCGCTCTAAAATTTCAACTAGCCATATGCCTTCACCATCTCAGAAAACTATCGTTATAATCTTTCTTCCGGGCTGGCTTGCTTTTAGTTTTGACTTGATCCTTTTCACTTTGACTGAGCTTTGTTTTAAGTATTGTTCTGTGAGAAAGGAGAATTTGCCTCAGAAAGAGTTCAGGTTTTTGATTGCTTATAATTAAGATGTCCATTGGAAATTCTGTTTTTGTCTGATCTGGGCGTAGCAGTTTTGGGAGCCAACGGTAGAAAGGTTGCTTAAGTTTCATTTTTCAGATAAAATTGTGTCGACAGAATTGAAATGTCTGTGTTAACTATTATTTCTGCTGTTAATTGCCAGTCTTCCTTTTGAATCATTCATCCCAAGCAATACAATAAAGCCACCAAGGCGCATGGGGTTACGGAGAGTTAAAGAATATCACATTATTAAAAAGACAGAAAAATAAAACAACTGTAATTAACAAGACAATATATTGATTGGGAAGCAAGAAGCCGGAAGAGAGTTCCATAAACGAGATGTACGACAGAAGCTGCTAGCATAGAATTTACGAGAGCATCTACCCATTTTAACTTCTATTAAATATTCAGTAGCAACGTTTTCTTTCCTCGAAAACTGATGTTGATTATCCTCAAATTCATCTCACCCTTCTTTGAAGTTAGTTGTCCATTTACAAATTGCTGATTTCTTAGGGAATTTAGTCGCCATAAACTTTTCGCAAAACACCGATAACGTCCTCAATCTTCCAACAAAGTTTTAAGAAAAATTTGCTGTGGCATGCTGCTCTAAAGAAGGTTGATTTACACTACGGCAGACTTCAATCTACTCAAAATATTCTCGGTTCACGCAAATGTCCAAGTTTACTATGCTACAAATAAATATGGAATGATTTGCATAATCTTCTTATGTTATCACAACGGAATTTTTGAATCGTTTTTATACATTAGTCAAAATGTAACAGACAACAAAGACGAGGAAAAAAGCATTTGTCCTATAATTTTTCTTAAATCGATGTTAAAATACCTTATTGCTGTGTTTGGATATCTGTTGCTATTTGAGAAATAAATAAAATGCTTTGAAGGCAGATAACAAAATGGCGTTCACACTCCGAGCAAAATGTCTGCCCCGTCGTTATTTGTCTGTTCAGAAATAGAATAGGAAAAATGTAGCATCTGCAAAATGTTTCATTTGTCCTCTCTTGCAATTCATTGTATAACTTTTGGTCTTTGTTAAATTATTAATTACTGTCTCCATTTTAATTTGCTTTGTTTCTTTATTTCTTTTAGAAAAAAAATGTCTAAATTGATCAATTATTTCCTTTTCGCAATTTTGTTTTGCATACGTTATAAATTTATGACCTAATTTTAAAGCGTTTATTTCAGGAGGGAATTGGGAGATTTCAATTCTGTTATTTTTGCCAACAAAAATCCTTCAATCTTCATTTTCGATATACGCTTGTTTTTCCACTTTAGATATAATTAGATTTTATAAGAACTGTTGCTTTTTTCTTTACAATCGATGGGCCCACACAAACGGAAATAGAAAAATATCATCCTGCAAACGTGGAAAAGGTTCTCACTTAATGATTTTTCACTTAAGTTCACCCAGTAGAAGGCTCGAGAGCCACCCAATGTAGAAGGTTACTGTTAAAATGGTTTTAATGAATAAAATGTGATATGAATGAAAGAGGATGAGGTGAAGGTTACGAGGAGAAGGGGAATAGATAAAGATTGACCCTTGATTTGTAGATGTTAGTGTTCAGGTAAGTTTGGCCCATAAATTAACAGCTCTCTGAATAGAATGTCCTATTTACATTTGGAATACTGAGGAAATGTGGATGATTCAGCACCTTGAAAAAAAAACAAAAAAAAACACGGCTTGTCCTAGCAGTAAAAGTCTGAACTGGTGGGACCAAACAACAGTGCCTATCTAAAAAATTGCAATCAAAACAACGAAAAAGTAACGGCAGTCTTGCAACATTGCGACAGCGAAAACGCAGTTACAAAGTGGGGAATAAAAACTTTCCCTCATCCTACCCCGCGTAAACGATTCTGATATGTCTGGAAATTGAGGATTGAGCAGTTCCAGAGAATATATGAAAGCAATATTCTATTTTTCGTATAATCAGACTCTTGCAAAAAAAAAAAAATAAATAAA